CCCACTCGTTGTGCTCGCTCGCCCTGTGAGGGGTTCCATGTTTATTTTGTCAGGTCGGCTTGCCAGCTTGACCCCGCCGAAAGTAGTGAGCTCTCCCTACCCATAGGGGCCCAAGAGCCTCGAGGTCCATGCAGTGACGAGTCCGCCATCTAGGAGGACGAACGACCATTTTTTGGATGCCAACCAGAGAAAGAGATCTGAGAGACTCTCCACTTGAACACGTACTCGCTTGCTTGCCGTACTTGCACTCTTCGTCGTGGCCCCTCAAGCCGAACGGAGCGTCTGCTTCAATACGCAGACGGCGGCCCATTGCCGGATTCGAGGAACCCCCGGCCGCCGCCCAGGCCTTCCACCCCCAGCTGCGCTCTTCGCGCTCACACCGCTGATGTCCCTCCCGTCGCTCGCTCGCGCCCTCGGCGAGGCGCTCGCGGCGGCAGAGCGCGCGCCGCAGGGTGTCTGTGTGTAGGGCACGTCGTTGGGGGTTTACGATGGGCGGGTTCCAACGTGGACTGTCGAGGGGTACTCGACCATGCTGCGCGAGGCGCGGGAGCAGCTTGGCTCGCGCTGAGAGGAGGCGACCTGGTTTGTAACGCCTGTCGGGGTCGGGTCGCTCACGCACGCCGTTGGTAGGCACTGCAACGGCGGCGGTTCAGAAGCGGCGTCGTGGCTGTGGAGCCGAATACGGCGCCATGTTTGCATGGGAGTCTGCGGACTGGCAGGTCTGTGACGGCTCACTCGGGCGCCAGGACGATCGTGATCGGGATGAACTATGGAACCGTGTCGGCATCGCGTGGCAGGGTCGAAGGACAGGTGGATGTCGTGCTGTCGAATTCGGAAGCACATTTAGCAAGTAAGGCTCTCTCGAGGGAAACGGCATCAGGCTTGGGCCTTGTGGTGTCGCCGATCGGGGCGCGTTGTGGAGGATTCGAGAGACCGGAGGAGATGAGGTGAGTGCAGTGCCGTCACCAGATGCCGGTATTATGCTTCTCGGGACTGAGGGGCCTAGGGAAGATGACATGCCCAACAGGCCAGGGCAGTATGAAGGCTCCATGCCAGCTTCTAAAGTTTGACGTCTTCAGGCATCAGATAGACTCCATGAGAGTGTGAGGGATTCATCGAAGCTGCTTGGCTTGCAAATTCTCGCTCAACCTGTGTCGTTCAAAACAGCAGTGATAGAACCAGTTTGGCAACATCGCCACACACCTATGTGCCAACCCCCTTTACCATGACAGCCATGGGTCCTTGAATGCCACACTCACCGTCCCACGCTTCCATCGTCAAGCCCGCCCGAAAGTGTGCCGCTAAATGCTGCACCCTCTGCTCCCATCCTGTCATCCGCACCCCGCAGAACCCGCAGTGACTGGGTACCGAATCCTGTGTGCGCCTGAGCATCGAAACGTCCATGGCCCAGCCTTCGCGCCGCCGACAGCCGTGGAACTTTTGCAGGTGCTGTACGAGGTGATCCTTGCGACTAAACGTCCGCGCCTCGAGACTCCTCTCGGCGCACTCCTCGAATTGGTGCGACTGGAAATGGGTGATATCCGGCGAGGAGTGGCCACAAAAGACGCATTCCGGGCCACGGGATGCGGGGTGCCAGGTGATGAGAGGGTCAGAGGCGGCGAGAGGTACACCACAGACCCAAGAATGGAGGCCGGGCAGGTGGACGGACTGCTCATGGCGAGACCAGTCAAACTTCTTATGAAAGGACTGGAGGCAGAACGTGCACTGGAAGTTTGTCGCTGTCGCAGGCTTGCCCGTCTTTGCAAAAGGATGGATGCCGCCATCGGAGCTGTTACCGGACCGTGCCCCGAAGTGGTTGCTTGCAGACGAGTGGAAGGAATAGCAGGATGAGTTTGAATCAGACGAGCCATCGAGACTGCGGCCCCTTGTGTTGAAATTGAAGCTGTCGTCTGCCGAGGACGCGCTACCTTCGCGAAAACTATCAGCTGGCTCGAGATTGTTCGAGTTGTCGGACAGAAAGGCGTCTAAAGCATTCTCGAGAAGCGTAAGATCGACAGGCTCCTCGTCTGGAGGTGAATTTCGCCATCGCTCGAGGGGCGACATGTTCGACAAGAGAGATCGTGGTCTGGGCGACCCTTGCAGGTGTTGTTGTTTGGAAGACTGCCTCGAGACCCGAAGTGATAGCCTGTGTCGACGTCGGGCATTGGTGAACCAGTTGACAACCTGCGACTTGCTGAGGCCTGATTGCTGCGCTAGACTATCCTTCACATCATCAGACGGATACGGATGGTCCAGATGCGCGGCAAACCAGGCTCTGAGAGCGCGGTTCTTGTGAACCGATCGAGAACTGGCTCGCTTGCTTGACGAAGATGGCATCACTAATGATGCTGGGTGTGGTGCTGGCGCCAAGGGGTCCTCGAGAAGGGGGTGCTCATCGAACAGCGAAGTCGAGGCTGAGGGCTCTTCGTTCACTCCGTGGAGATGGCCTATGACAGGTTCTGATGTTTCAAAACTGGAGTGGTCGCGTTTGGCCTGGCCGGCCAAGGAACAGTCGCGAAAGAGTGCAACGCAGGATGAACACGACGAGACGGGGTTAGGGTTGGCTGATGTCGTCCGGAGTATAAAGCATTGCAACCGGTGACGTCTGCAGTTGGCGCATGGCATAGGCGGCCAGTACGTGCCATTATCGAGTAGAAGCTCATCCAAGTTCTCGTCATCCATCGTGTCGATGTCCAGTCTGTGGCTTAAAAATAAGCCTACATGAAGGAAGGAAGGAAGGAGGAGGCAGTGAGTCCTAATTGCATATCGTGATTAGTCGACCCGGTGCGCTGCATTACTTTGTGTTGCTGCTGTGCGTTGTCCTCGCTACATGCAGGAAGGAGACCCCGTATCAGCATAACCGAATTCCACACCTGGGCGGACAGCCGGGCTACAGTGCAGGCTCATGAACATGATCTCAACACACCACAAACCGCCTGGTCATCCTCAGACAGTCTTACTCTACAAGGCGTGCCGAATTTAAAATGGAAGTTATCGATAACGAGCCTCTCCAGGTCTCGTTTCCTCTGCCACGTTCTATCGATACTCGCGTATTCATTCACCTTACCATCAAGGCCAAAGCCGTTACCTTGTTCCTCACCACAGCAAACCAGGATGAGCCGTCATCACCAGCAGCCATGGGCTCCTTCGTCTACGCTCTGCCTGACGTAAGCCATTTTCTCATCCTCCCAGCTGAATATCACTGCCCCGTCACTAAACATGCACAGCGTCTCAACCCCGCTCAGCCAATTTCCACAACGCTCTATGTTCACGAGCCAACCCTCGAATTCACGCAGCGCATGGCGAAGCTGATCGCCAAGCGGGCGAACATGCCCGTCTATGTTACCAACAGTAGTTCCTTCACGAACTGCCCCGAGGGCGGCACCGTTGAGGAGGAGATGGACGTCTTCAAGCGGGTCGTCGATGTGGTGACTGAGCGGGTCCGACTGGTCGTCAAACCGACAGCAGCAGCCAACGGTGTCTGATCGGCTGCTTTCACGAAGTTCAGGGACCCGTTTGCGAAGGCCCCCTCTTCGTGGCGGGCGCCACGTCGGAAGGCTGATGGATTCTCCTTCGGGGTAACGTGCTAGCTTTCGCTGTCCCGCTTAGCTGTTTATGTTGCACGTCTACGATCGGCAGCAGAGGGGAAATGGGGGCACATGCGGCCTGCCGCGGGGGGGGGCTGGGGGGGAATATTCGGGGTACGCGCTCAAAACTGCCCTAGTGACGCAGAGAAGCAAGAGCTTTGAATGAGTACGGAAGCTCAGAGGGTCTGCGAACGATGGCAGAAGCTGTTGCGAAATAGGAGGCCATGCCCGGTGTTCTATTTACGCATGGCTGTAATGAGGATTTTCTTCACCGAGAGCGTCATTTCCAGTCAACGGCCGTCTCTAATGCATCGAAATATCATTGTTACGAAAAAGAACTTCGGACCGTCACACGCGGCATCTCAAGCGCTGTCTTGTGTCACGCCAGGTGAGGAGGTATGATAGACGGGCTGCTGCAGGCGGTGGCAAGGGAGGTGCCCGAAAGCTTGACGCCAAAACGACGAAATCTGCTGCCGCCAATGGCCCTAGTTGATACCTTGCATTCGCCCATCGCACAAATATAAAGAAATGAGTTGAAACGCGTGTTTGTTCCATCCATCGCAAGAACCGCGACTGTGGAAAGTACCTACCTACCACGCCTGGCAGACGCAACATTCATGTAAAGAAATAGGCAGCAAAGGGTGCAGTCCGCCCCAGACCGGTGCATTATCCGAACAAGGCTTATCGAACGGACTATCTTTCGTCAGAACCCCACCCTTAGCGCAACCAAGGATTTTGCGGGCAGCAGCAGTGACTGGCAAAAGTCACCGCAGAGAAGCGGGACAGACAGATATGGAGGGCGGGGGCCACAAGCACTGTAAGGCAGGGTACCTTAGGTATAGTACCAGCTGGATCTGTGCTTTTCCATCACCAGATCAGGTTTGCAGCCCGTCTTCTGTATTCTGCCTCTTGCCCCCTTCTCCTCATCTGTATGGCCTACAATTCAAATCGAGGGCAAATTGCAATATTCCTGCACGGTAGGCAGCTACCTTGATCGTCAACAGCTCCCTTCGGAGACAACGGTACGTCGTCTGTCGAAACCCCTCCCCTTCTTGGCGGCAGTATCTGTGCCAGTGCCACATGTGCCAGTACCCTGGCCCCTGCTCTCTCTCTCCCCCTCTGATTTTTGGCTCTTTCGACCTGGAGCGGGTCTCAACGAGGGGCTCGAGCCTGGAGTGTCAGTCGCGGGGCTTCAAATTCCTGTCGCTTTCCGCACCGCACCACTCCACACACCACCACCACCACAACATCACTCCTACCACTGATCGGGCGCATCGTGGGAACAGAAAAGCGCTGACAAGCAGTCTCCCACTAGCACTGTCTCGGTGGATGTAATTCTCGGCACAATTTTTATTTCATCGCCGGCCTGCCTTCGTTTTGTCTCCGAGCTGTCGCATCCATCGAACGACCGAAATCAAACCACCTCGATCCTTTTCAACTCCCACATCGATTGACCCCCCTCGAACCGACACCATCATGACCTGGCAGCCAAGCCAGGAGTCCTTGAGCCAGCTTGCTGTCTGTCTCAAGGACTCCTTGAGCGGCTTCGACAAGAATGCGCGCAAACAGGCTGAAGATGTGGGTTTCATTCGCATATTTCGAGCGATCTGACCTTTTCGGATCACAAATGCAAACTGCAGTCGCAAAACGTTACTGACGCACTCTGCTTCAGATGCTCACGCAGGCCAAGGCCTCGCCCGATATCAACAACTACCTCGCCTACCTCTTCTCCAGCGCCGAAGCCCCGGCTGGCGTCCCCTTCAACTCCATGGAGTACCACCTCGTACGATCCGCCGCCGCCATCATGCTCAAGAACAACGCACGCTCCCAGTACAAGCAAATCCCCGAGAGCAGCATGTCCCTCATCAAATTGGCCATTCCCATGGGAATTCAGGACAAGAACCCGCAGATCCGAAGCTACGCTGGTAATATTGCGACGGAAATTATCAAGAACGGAGGTCTCCTGAGCTGGCCTGAGCTACTGCCTCAGCTCCTGAGTCTGTTGTCGAACGAGTCCGGCCAGGTCCCTGCCGAGGCCCAGGAGGGCGCCATGCACGCCATGGCCAAGATCTGCGAGGACAACGTGAAGCTCCTGGATCGCGAAGTTAACGGCCAAAGGCCTCTGACTTTCCTCATGCCCAAGTTCATCGAGGCCACCAAGAACTCTCTGCCCAAGGTCCGCGCCCAGGCTCTCAGCGCTATCAACGTCTTCATACCCCGCAAATCGCAGGCCATGCTTAACAACATTGATGATCTGCTATCCCACCTCTTCACGCTGGCCACGGACGACAACCCCGACGTGCGTCGCCAGGTGTGCCACGCCTTTGTCCAGCTCGTGGAAGCTCGTCCCGACAAGCTGCAACCACACATCAGCGGACTGGTGGACTACATCATTTCGCAGCAAAAGAGTGACGACGAAGAACTGGCCAGCGAGGCTGCCGAATTCTGGTTGGCCGTCGGCGAGCATCACGATCTATGGCAATCGCTCTCGCCGTACCTCGACAAGATCGTCCCGGTCCTGCTGGACTGTATGGTCTACAGTGGAGAGGATATTGCACTCCTTGGTGGCGCGTCAGACGACGAGGACGAGGAGGATCGCGAGGAAGATATCAAGCCGACATTTGCCAAGAAGTCTGCTGGCAGACAGGCCAACGGACCCGATGCCTCGGCTGACCCAGGACAAAACGGAAATGCGTACGAGAAACTGGCCGACATGGAGGACGACGATCTGGAAGACGGCGAGATCGACGAGCTCGAGGATGGCGAAGAGGGATTCCGAGGGCCAGTGGACGATTCGCAAGTGCTCTGCCGCAGCTCTCGATGTTTCTCGAGAGATTTTCAGGATCCCGTGTTCACGGCCATTCTCCCGTATTTGACGAAAGAACCTGAAGCACGAGGATTGGCAATACAGAGAAGCTGCCGTACTGGCGCTCGGCGCCGTTGCCGAAGGAGCTAGCCGAGCTGTCACACCTCATCTTCCCGAGTTGATACCATTCCTGTTGACGTCGCTCGAGGATCCTGAACCCATCGTCAGACAGATCACCTGTTGGACGCTGGGTCGGTACTCCCATTGGGCGGCCGGTTTGACAGACCCAGCGCAGAAGGCTACATACTTCGAGCCCCTAATGGACGGCATTTTGCGCAAGATGCTCGACAAGAACAAGAAGGTTCAGGAGGCGGCGGCTTCTGCCTTCGCGAACCTAGAGGACCAGTCTGGCAAGGTACTTCAGCCATATGTTGTACCGATTCTGCAACAGTTTGTCCGCTGCTTTGCGCGCTACAAGGACAGGAACATGTACATCTTGTATGATTGTGTGCAAACGCTCGCCGAGCAGCTTGGACCTTTCATGGCGCAGCCCGAGATTGTCAACATCTTCATGCCGTCGCTGATCGAGCGTTATCAAAAGGTCAATGATCAGTCGCGCGAGCTGTTCCCGCTGCTCGAATGCCTGTCCTACGTTGCCATGGCGCTCAACGACTCTTTCGCGCCTTACGCCCAGCCTATCTTTGGTCGTTGCGTCAACATTATTCACATGAACCTCGAGCAGAGCATGGCTGCGAACAACAACACGGCAGTCGAGTCGCCTGACAAGGACTTCCTCGTCACAAGCCTCGACCTTCTGAGCGCCATCGTCCAAGCGCTCGAGAGCCAAAAGTCGCAAGAGCTCGTCAGCAATGCCGATGCTTCATTCTTTGAGCTTCTCGGCTTCTGTCTCGAGGATCCTCAGGACGACGTCCGCCAGTCCGCTTATGCCCTCCTCGGTGACTGCGCCAAGTACGTCTTCCCGGCTCTGGAGAAGCACCTCGGCACCATCATGCCCATTCTCCTGCAGCAGCTTGACCTTGACAGCATCCTTGACGAGGAGATCGACAGCGGCTTCAGCGTTGTCAATAATGCCTGCTGGTCGGCTGGCGAGATTATCATGCACAACACAAAGGACATCTCTACTTACGTTCCTGAACTCCTCCAGCGCCTGGTTGACATCGTCTCCAACCCGGCCGTCTCGCACGCCGTCACGGAGAACGCCGCCATTACGATCGGTCGCCTCGGTTTGCACCACAACGAGCAGCTCGCCAGCATGCTGCCCAACTTTGCTGAGGACTTCCTCACCTCCATGGAGACGGTCGAGACGTCCGAGGAGAAGGCCACGGCGTTCAAGGGTTTCACGCTTGTCGTGGCGCGAAACCCGCAGTCCATGGAGAAGGCGCTGCCACAATTTTTTGTGGCCATTGCGAGGTACAGAGACCTGAAGCTGGAGAACCCGACCAAGCAGGAGCTACACCATCTTTTTCAAAATGTGAGTTACTGTTTTGGCTCGACTGTCTAAGACAAGATGCGAACATTTGCTAATTTGCGCCCGCCAACCAGATCCTCAACGTCTACCGTCAAATGATCCCCAACTTTGCGGACTTCATCGGACAGATGCAGCCACAGGACCAGCAGGCCCTCAAGGCGAACTACTCATTATGATTGGAGAACGGGACGAAACACCGGATGAGGCGGGAGGTCGCATCGATGGCCCGCCAATAGCCCTTCAACATGCTAGGCGTGTGTGGAAAGGTCTCATCCATTGCATGATTGTGGGCATTCACGGGTAGGGAGAGTGGGTGGTGGGATACCACCATGGCGGATACGGGGGTGTTGATGCTTTCCGCAAAGACGTATGGTTCACGATGGGTTTGAGACGAGACACAAGCGGCTAGGACATATCCAAGAACCGGAATGTTGTATTCTGGGGAGCACGCGCGCACGCAGGGTTTGGGCAGACAGGTAGGCAGCACGAGACGAAGTGGAATGAAAGCAACCCCCTTCTCAACAACGTTGATGCGAATCCGAAGGCTCGGCGCCGCGGCGGCGTGGCGGCGGCGGTGGAGACGGAGGCGGCACGAGGCCTGGGAAAGGGACGGGAAGAACCAGGAAGATGCTATTCTTGGGAGACTCCATGGACGTGCTGTTGTCTTAGGCGCACACAAGCCTGCATGGGAGACGAGGGCACGTGGTGCCCTGCACAGTTGCAGTGCAAGGGATGCGGCATTCGACAGGCCGGCACGATCGGGGCTGAACCCTCCGATGAAGCGACCACGACGCGTTCCAAAAAAAGAAAGTCCAAAAGTAAGGGCGTCTCTGGGGGTTCTTTTTCGGCACATGGTCGACACAACGAAACATTCGACTGTGGGGTTTTGGTCGTCTTTCTTTTGTCTCTCCCCTTTTTCCCTTGCGTTATTCAAACCCCACCCTTCCGTCCATAGATAGATAGGTAGCTAGTTAAGTAAAGTAAGTAGTTTAGGTAGATAGGTAGTCAGTCACAGAGTAGCGGGCAGAGCACGTCGTCCTCCATCCGTTTTTACTTTCTTCAAATTATTTCCTTTCTTGGTTTACTTCGATTTCCTCTCCATGCCGCTACTACTGCCTGATCGCCACTCAACCAACGGCCGGCCGGCTACAAGGTTGAAACCATGACTGGCGTTTCCCCACCGGCCGGCCGGCCGCTTTCTTCATCTGGGATTCATTCGTAGGGCGACGGACTATCTTCTCCTAACCCAGCCTACAATCGAAGCGCTCCTATGTTGTGTTTCTTTATTCCTGGCCCTGCCCCCCTTTTCCTTTGGGATGGTGGCCGCTTGCTCCCTAATTTGGCATGGGCCGCACCCTCATCACCTCACAGACGAGCCGCGCTCGTCGTTCGTCCGACTGGTCGTCCAACCCCATTCCCGTCCATCTAAGCATCCCGACGCTATTTTCCCAATCTCGCCACCCGCTAGCCCGTGAGAACTGAACATGGGACAAAAACGGCTCATTACTAGCGAAACTCTGTCTCCGTGATCGCCAGGGGTCCTGTGCTATACCTCGGCAAAGGGGCGAGTAGGAAGGAGCTGGGGCTTGACATGGTAGGCGCGAAGGGAGCAATGGTCAAAACGACATGATGGAATAAAATTGGAAGGCAAGACGAGAGGGCTCTCTGTCTGCATACGAGCACTGAGGGCGGAGAGGGAGAGAACATTGGGGGGGGGGGGGCGTTGCAGCTGCTCCGCGAATAGCAGCGTACAAGCTCAGAGAATACAACATGCAGATATTGGGAGGGATATGTCTCAGCAGGGGGGTATCACGGAGGACAGTCTGGATAGACTTTTGGAGTGTCTGGGGTCCAAGACGTTTCGAAACCGCTCACCATCGAAAACAGAGAGACAGACAGACAGAAAGAGGCCCATCTTGTTCGTGCTGAGTCAGGGTTGACAAGCTTAAAGAATGCCGGTGCGCTCGGCTCGACCTCTTTGAGCGCCCGCTGCCCGTCGGGGAATTGTAAACCTAATATGCCTTGACCAGGGCGCGAAGTTTCTTTGTGTGGTATTTGAGATGAGGCAGTACGAGGCTCTCATCGGGCGGAGGATGTAAATCTAGTGATGGAATGTTCCGTTGGTCTAGCGGAGAGAACAGTCCTTCGTTGACACCTGAGAGGCCTTGGAGCCTCCACGATTATTGGCAAGGCCACAAGAGACATATGACGGTGACAAAGGGGCGTGTTGCCAGCAAGGTTTCCAACAGGGCGCATAAGCACGCGGCAGATGTTGGGAATGGCGACAAGATGCCCAGCACGACCTTTCCCACTAGCATGATAGACAACTTTAGCTCGTCCGCCACGTTGGTGAGCGGGAAGTTTTTCGGGGGAATGAACTGTCACGCGCCTATGATTCAAACGCTAAGCACTTCATATGATCTGCCATTGAAGAAGAAACAAGGGAGGCTTCCAGAATGCTTAACATAGGAGAGACGGCGTTGTCGATCATGTTGGCGCCGTTCGACGCCTCTGGCGTGATGATCTTCGGGGCACATCGGACCATCAGCCACATCTGAATCCCACTCTCTCATCCACTTGCGCACTGTACTAGCTATCGTGATCCCGGATGTGCGGTAAGGCAGAGCACAGTCCTGAGCGTGATGTTTTGTTACGCGCTGTCGTGGTCATAACACCAAGTGGCTTGAATATTCGCCCAATGCAAGGGGCACTATACAACGATGGTTTGTCGCTTCCGCTGAAAAAAGCTGAAAAGGTTCTCATATGATGATCAGTAAAAATGAGTTGGCCGCAGAGTTCTTGGCTATCCATCTGTATTCAGTACGGGAACATCGGGTAGTCTTGGCTACGCTTCCCGGCACGCGTCATCGCAGAAGGTGGTGCTTCCGGAACACTGGCCGACGGACTGACTTCAAGAGCCATGATCGGCCGGCGAAAGCCGTGGAATGGATATGGTCAACAACAGCATCAGGGAATATTCGTCAACCATTGGACCGACTACGAGAGCTGTGGTGAAGCCCGACACATATCGGCCTCCTCGGGCAGGATGTTACTCATGGTCCTTCGACCCTGAGGACCTCGCCAAAAACAGCCGCCTCAGCCCCGCCTGGCGCTTGTCGTGTACTGAGGTGGGCCTCATAGACAAAACAGCCGGCGCGCCTCTGCACAGCTAGTTGAGCTCATTGGCAGGTCGGCCTGAACCGAGGACACGATGTCTCGCCGCTTAGTATCCAACCAAAACTGCGTTTTAGGGCACTGGTGCCACTTTCCTGGCGAGCAACATGTCGTGCGTAACGTTCCTTCGCGCATCGCCACCACTCGGTCATATCGCGGAGTGGCAGGACGGCAGCAGCGGGTTGGCGGCTGAAGCTGCCGCACGCCGTGAGACAGGTAAGATCATGACCGCTTTCGGCAATGCCCCTGCGTATACCACATGGTGTCAGCTGATTAGCCGGAGAGACTGCTGAATCATCGTACGCTCACCAGCCAAAGGAGGCGTGGATTGGGCTTCCTGCGTACAATGTACCCCGCAAAACGACAAGTCTATTGGATTATATGTTGCCCTGTGACAGTAAGAACGACAGGAAGATGAGATCCTAACATGTGTAAATCCTGCATCATTGCCAGATGCTAGGGTGGGATTGCAACTGAGAGCCTAATGAGGTTTGGGTTAGCGCAGGTGTGTCGGCAAGCGGGAGAGCTAATGCAGCCTGCAGATGAAAATAGCATCAGAAAAAAACACGAGTGATGCTGTGAGGTTGTCCGCTTGGGTCGGCGCCCGCCGGTGAGAAAACTTAGCGCCTGTTGGGGTCGCCACGGGCAGTTTTCTGGTTCTTGGGTCGACAGACTAAACACTAGCTACGTTCTTAGGTCATGCTATGAATGCGGGTCTGTAGGTGTGTCGGGGGCGAACGCCATGCGGCTTGTCTACCGAACTGATCAGCAAGCAAAGCAGCATGGTGAACCGAAATGCCAGCTCGTGGCCATAATCTCGTGTGGAGCAGGCAATGTAACCATCATGTAGCAAATGATCTGGGTTGGCTAACGACAACTTTTGCAATCTGTTCACGAAACCTTGAGTCAAACGTTTGGAAAAGAATGACCGGGTTTGATACTGTGCAAAAAAGTTGCCTATTTGAGCATATGGTGAGACAGTCGGCCCCCGCGGCTTCCGGGTGGGGGGATTTTCTCTCGACAGAGACTGGACCTTTCTCAGCGGAGATCCGGGGATGATCGAGCAGAGTGAACGAAGGGTCCTCAGTGCTGATTACAGGACATTTGCCAAATGAATCGCGGCATCGCAATACGTCATGGTGTGCGGCATTTCATTCAACGGACTCAGCGGACAGCAGTGTCCTGGAATTTCCCCATACCTATCCAGCCCTAGGCATATCGCCGAGCCGAGGCTTGAGGCTACAACATGATGATGGGTCGTCCACACACACATTGGCCGATTGACGGGGCTGCAGGGAGATAAATCTGGAAGCGAATGGTAATGGGCAAGTAACAAGATTGATGAACATTTTTCTTTCAGGGAGTGGGGGGGGAGGGGGGGAGGTTGGTTGACAGCCACTTAGCTGCATAGGGTTGATCGTAACATTGTTGTGGATGAAGATTACGAACTTCAATTCCACCGACTCTTTGATGTGTATTCTGGCAATCGGGTCGGTCGTAAGATCTGACAAGGAATGTTCTGCTCACCCTGACGCCAAGCGCATCATGTTCCAGCCGTGTAGAAGCGGCAACATGAGCCGCTCGCGCTATGTGTTGGTCGATGGTACCGCACACGGGCACCTTGCCGCCCTAACAGCTTAGCCCGCCGAGCTATCAAGCCCTTGGTTGGCACTGCATTTACCATGGCTCGACGTAACCCGCCGCGGAACGATTCGGGGGTTCTTGACGAAGAGGGTTAGCAGAGGTGCACAACTGATGTGATACTGAAGTGGTCAAGTGCTTCACCGCGAGGTTCACCGCACTAAGACAGGGCGTTCTGACAGGCACCCACGCCACAGTTCCATGGCAGCTTCGATTATCGACCGCTATGGATGCAAACCATGGCGAGAGCGGTGGGCGCTCTTCAAAGTCGGCTAGGTGCCAAGTTGCAACTTCACTAGAGACCCCAAGCAGGATCTTGCCGATGAGGGAATCATAGCCCGAATGTCAGGCAGCGCGCCAA